CAAAATTACAATCCATTGCAAAAAATTTAAGGTCATACAATTCTAGAGGTTTTTCCTAACTATTTAACCTAATACTACATTTTATATAATTGGTTGATCTTCTCTCTTTAATTGTTATCTACAACCTGTAAATGATAAAAAATAAGCCAAGATAACAGTGTTAAAAGTTAAAACCAAATGGCACATATTAAGAAAAACTAAATCATCGATTAAATTAAAACAAAAAAAATACATTACTTAAGTAAAGAATTGAGGTTGGGTATGAGAGAGTTGAAGCCTTTTCATTGGTGATAATATAGATTTCTCAATGTCATAGAAGAATGTTTTATAGTTGGTCTGTTAGGGATGTCGAAGGGCCCACCAGAGTTTGATCTGTTTTGTCTTGTGGTTGCTGGCCATATATCTTCCCGAGGTCCTGGAGTGTCAGTGGTGTAAACCGACCAACTGCAGCAAATAAGTGAACTAGCATTTTTTGGGAAATATCGACTAAATGAACCTTTGTATATAATTGCAATGTACTTTGTTTTTTATTTCAGGATAATATTATGAAAAAGTGAGGATATCTATATATGAATCTATCATATTTAAATAGCTTTTGATAATCAAAATGAGATTACCTTTCCTTATGGGATCTCTGTTATCCACAGGTTTCATTAGACTGAAAGCAAAAACACATATTAAGTTTAAAATCAACTAAAAGGTGAGAGAGGAGTCAATGGATGATCATAAAGAGGCCAAACTGCATCGTTGCTTAGTATCTTATTGTCATCTTCGTGGCCTTTGAATCTCATTAAGGAAAATAAGTTGTGTATCATGTCATTCATTGCTTGAAAGAAGTGTATATGACTACAGTCTATAAGATTATAAGTTTAGGATACACAAGAGATGGCCACATGTGGTTGAAATAGCTCTTCCTTCGAGCTCCCTCCAGCATGCGTTACACCTCATAGTTGTGTATATGATGATCTTCAAATGATTTGATGCACCATAGTCCTTAAAACCTTTTGATTATGTATGAATGTTGGCATTTCATTTTTCTCCCTTGAAATTAATCTAACTCAAATGTTGAAATTAATATATATATATATATATATATATATATATATATATATATATATATATATATATGGTAAAGAAGTCAAAAACTGTGTACTATTGAGCCTATGGCAGTGAAAGCAGTATTCATGTTTTTATAAAACTTAAAAGAACAAGAATCTGGAATAGATATGATGCATATAAAGGACAAGAGATGGCATCATTAAAAGAAGATAGTGTGTGGCTAGAAATGTGCTTCCTTTAAAACCTAAATAAATTGACCACAAAGCCAAGATATATACATCAGCTTGACCTGCATGAGCCAGTGGTTTTGTGACTACACCAAACTAGCAAACATTAAAAAAAATTCCATGATGCGATTACAGAACCACAAGGTGCCTCCCTGTCAAATTACTCTTCAAATATCATTACAAATGAATGGATATGTTGAGACTTTTTAGGTTAAACCTTAGACTTTCAAATTCGAAATTAACCTGAATGATCTACCAAATTTAACCTAAAACTAGTTTATGAGAGTAGGAATTTCATAAACTTAACCTTTTCAGTGCGACAATTTGGTTGACAGTTGTGATTTATAAAACGACCCAAGTTTCCTTTAGCACAAGCATCTATAACATGAAAATAAAAACAATAAAAAAGAAACCATGTGAATAGACCTTTATGATAGGAATCACAACCGCCACTAGTTATATTTTCAGTTTTTTTATTGTTTTTAAGCTATCCAATTTTATTTATTATATTAAGAAAACTATATTAGTTGTTGGGTGATTTAACGGATGTATGAGTTGCAACCGAATGATAACTAAAACTCCAGCTTCTTCACAAGCTGCAAAGTGCTAAAGCAGCCAAAACATAATTAATAATCAAATTCAAGTATATGTTATGAGTAAGTAATAAAGTACATATAACACAATAAAGTATGATTAAGGTACCTATTATTTTAAATATTATTTATGTTATTCTTCTTCTAAAAGTATAGACCCACAATATTTTATGTTATTCTTCTGTTATTTTATTATTATTATTTTTATTGGAGGGGTTTTTTAGACATTTGAAGTACCTAGAATCCGGATAGTCCCTTTTAATCGGGAGTGGAAATAGTTTTGCCCTTTACCAAATTATAGGATAACAATATTAGTTATTTACAAAAACAGTTAAATAACAAAAAATGATTCGTATAATTTTTATATACCATTACAATAAAAATATTACATGAGGAAACCTCTTCCCAATACTTTTTGTCCCCACTGTCAAGATACAACACATCTGAATAACCTTTTGCTTTTGCTGCACCTTGCACCTTTAAAACCTACACACATTATTTTATATAAAAACATTAGAAATCTTTTTATATACGATTTTTAGGGGTTTTTTCTTTTTTACTTTCCGGGCTTAATGTGTTAAACACTCAATCTCTAAGATTTATCTTGGTTTTAAATAGCTTAATTTCCGACAAATTCAAACAACTTCTGAGCATTTCTATTAAGGCGAACTTCATCATGAGCTTGTTGTAGCCAGAAGATTCCGGAACCTTTTCTACCATGCTTCCAGTGATGCATTCCAGCAATCTGTTAATAAAACTGTGATATCCCCATTTTCACGGTTAGAAAAGACCGATTTTGTTTATGCTTTATAAAAATCAGAGTACTTCTTTTAATAAAAATGTTGCGGAATTTGTTCCTAAAAAAACATGATAAATACGTTATTAAAACATTTTCAAAGAAACGTAATCTATTCATTTCAAAACGTTTGGGATGTCATCGTTAATACAGAAACATAAGCATAAACAGAACTTACATTTATTTACACTAGTGATCTACATCTCTTTAAATCTCTCAGTCTAAAGTGACTTCGTATCAACACCTGTGATATAAATAAACTGAGTGGGTCAGGTTGGGAAACCTGGTGAGTATATAGGGCTTTCAACCCACAATAATATAATTATTATGTTTAAACAATCAAACAATCAACCCAATTACCCATCCCCATTATCTTCTTTAATCTTAAGGATCTACCCTAAGAATCAGCTATTCCTCATTCATTCATTCCTAAGGATCATCCTAAGGAATAGGCACAAAGTCCATCGTTGCCACGGTTTACAACGGGCATTAAGTCTGCATAGTCGCCAGGGTTTAGGCATCAAGTCTGCATGATCACCAAGGTTTAGGCATCAAGTCTTCATGATCACCAGGGTTTAGGCATCAAGTCTGCATGATCACCAGGGTTTAGGCATCAAGTCTGCATGATCACCAGGGTTTAGAGTACACCGGGTGAACACATCGTTCACAACACCTACAGGTTGCGAGCCTGCTAGTGTTCCACTGGACTGTCTAGAATAGTCTGTGGTTGTCATCCATACTCTGCTGAATGACGGGGCCATCATTTGGGAAAAAGGCTTCTCACATCATCCACCTCTCACCCTCACCTCGTGGTCTATAACACCTCTCAACTCATCATTCAACTCATATTCCATCTATTATATCTACCCATGTTTACCCCAACATTATCGTAGATATAAAATACATATACAGTTTAAATCGTTTAAAATATGTATAAAATTGTTCATTTAGCATAGACAATAAGTACTCAGATAATATGCACACATAGTACGTAATTTATATAAAATACTTCATATATATGTGTAAGATGAAAGTAACTATACACTCACCTGAAAGGTGGTGACTCAGCACTCGGATAGCGCTTCGATACTCTTAAAACGATTTCCTTCGATAACACCTAGTACCAATACCACTAGGGTTTAGTCTAACGATAACCGCGATAAATTAATTAGTCTGACTATTATTATTATTATATAAGCGTTAATAACACTCAATATAACTCTTAATAATAGCCCAAATAATTATTTTAAGGTCCTAATAACATTCCTATAATTATTCGAAAGCTATATTAAAAATTGCGTAAGCGTAGCTCACTTACAGCGAATTTTATCGAAAACCGAAACTTTATTTGGAGCAGCGCTTCGAAACTAAAAGACCCTTTTTCTCGAGACTCCGGAAGCCTCAGGGGCTTCCCTCGGGAGCTAAGGGGTTTTCCTAGGGTTTAGGAGGGGTTTGGAACCCTAGAGAGAGAAATAAGTTAGAGAGAGAAGTGAAAAATGGTGTGGAAAGCCGACCATCTTCGCATCTATTTATAGGGGTTGGCGGCTTCGGACTACGCTGTGCGTTCAGCAGCTACGCTGGGCGTAGTCCCGGATAAGTTTGCCAGCTTCGCACAGCTGGCTCGCAATCGGACAGGACCGGTATGCTAGGCGTACCGAACTCGGACGCGGGGCGTAAAGCGACGCTACGTTGCGTGATCCGAAGCGAAGCCTTGGTCAGCAAGCAACGGATCAGAAGCGGCCACGTCATCAACCTCTCGCAGATTTTGCAACTTTGCACTCCGACTTCTAAAAATCATATCTTTTGCATACGAGCTCTGTTTTCGACGTTCTTTATATCAAAGAGAAGGCGGGAATGTACTCTACAACTCTCGTTTAGACTTCATTGGCTAATTTTGAATTTATTTTAAATTTTATATTATTAACAGGCCGGGACAGAATTGGTTCGTTAAATCCTCATAACTTCTTCATCTGACGTCCGTTTTTGCCCATCTTTTTCTCGTTGTGCTACTTTTATCGAGATATTCGATTCTCATTTAGGTCGTGTCGGCTGAACATTATGTAAACAACATATCTCAATATTCTGTTTGCAGTACAAAAGTAATTGAACATTATGTCTTTCTTCTTTTAAAAGAATTTGTACTTGAATATTGCCCGGTGTCAATAACTCTGTAGCATGAGCAATCATCTTATTATCACAAAAAAATATTATTAGAAAATATTAAAAGTTATGTGATTAAAAATTACAGATTCGCTCACCAGTGACCAAATGATTTTAAGCACTCTGCCAATATAACCTAAAAAAAGTAACAAGTTAGAGATCTTGTTAATAATAATTTATTGAAGTATATGAAATGAGGTGGTTGAACCCGAAAGTTCCTGCAACATCTGTGCAAGTTATATGAGATGAGGTGGTTGAACCCCATTTTGCAAGCCCAAAATCGAAGAGCTGAATCAACAAAAATTGTTTATAAAGTTTAGTCATTTACTAAAATTAGATAAATGATTAATAAATAGTAAATCACCTGTGGTTCAAAATCATCATAGAGTAAATCACCTGTGGTTCAAAATCACCAGAGAGTAAAATATACATGTGATGTGTAGATAAAAAAAGTGCCTCAGCTAAACCTAGAGCACCTTTATACCTTTCAGACCATCCAAATGCAAGATATTTCTCGTTGCCTAAAAGATAATATTATGAAATAAGAAAAATGAAAAAACATGATTCCAAGTGTATGAGATTTGTGTTCTTTTTAAATGTAAAGGAACATACTATGTAACTTGTCTTCAAGGCTTCCTCTTGATAGGAAATCATAAAATAAGAGGAGATTGTTGTCTTCAAAGCAAAACCCAAACAGGGAAATGATATTTTGATGATTCATGTGACAACCCAAAGTTCGTTCCATTATTTGTAACCCGTTTTCGTTAATAAAGCCGTTAAGTTCCAAAATTTTCCGTTAACTTTGTGTTAAATAAATTATTGCGACTTCTATTAATGTTTTAAAAAGGTGTTGGAATACATTTTAAAACATTAAATATTTTCTATTTCATTTAGAAAAGATTTAGTTTTATTTATGTCGTAATTACGGCAACTTTATCGGGTGCGACCAAAAGCACCGTCTAACGGCAGTATCGGGTAGAATTCCACCGGGCCACAAACTCAACCCCTATATAAGGGATTGAGTGACATCATTTTTAGGCTTTTACTCTCTCTCTAAAAACTTTCTCTCACTACTCTCTCTAAAATCCGAAACTTAGCCAAAATCACCCAAAACAAGCTCCAAATCACTAAGGTAGCTTCCCTAACTCATGAATTAGCATCTTAGACCTTCAAATTCGGAATTTTTATGAGGAATGAGACCATAAATAAGTTTTTACGGTCTAGGAACCTCCTTAGGCCGTGAACACCTCATATGAGGGTTTTGAAGCCTCAAAACCCCTTCAAGACACTTCTAGGGCCTAGATTTGGCTTAGAAACTTGCATGCATGGACTTAGGACCCAAAAATCGTATCATATGATGTATAGACATGAGTTTACGACCCAAGCATGTTCTTGGACCATAAACCCTCATTCATGGACCATAAACTCATGTAAATGAGTCAAAATGCCCTTAAACACCTTCAAAATGCTTCCATGGGAGTGTAGAACCTCATAAACCTTCATGTGATGCACCAAAACATCCTCAAATGCATCAAACTTGAGTTTACGGCCCAAGAACATTCTTGGACCGTAAACCCACCTCCTTAGACCGTAAACACCCAACAAAGGGTGTTAAGGTGCCTTTAATCCCTTGAAAAGCTTGGTTTTGGACCTAGAATCACATGTGATTGAATTACAACCATCAAAGCCCTTAATTCATGGACAAACATGAGTTTACGATTGTAAACTCATGAATTTAAGGTATTAAACTCCCCAATAACATCTCCTTAGACCTTAAACTCATTTCCAAGGTCATTTCAAGTCTCGATCACTTCCTAAGTTATGGAATCGACCCTAGAACCTTCCCGTGTGCATTATATGACCATTTGGGATCCAAGAACCCACCACCCATGAGTTTACGGCCCTAAACTCATGGGGATATGGTCAATGGGCCGTAAACTCCTTAAGGAGTTTACTCTTGAAGAGTAAACTCCATATTTAGGCCCTACACACCCTTAGATGCTACCCGGATCACTCTTAACACTTGAATTGAAGTGTTTTCACGTCTTGGAGTGCATATTCATGTCTAATTAGTGGTTCAAAGTCTAATTAGATACAATTTCATATCATTTCATATTACATAGGAACCTTGCATGTAATCAAGCCCCAAACTGTCACATAGCATCCAAACCGTCGCGTTTTCTCGTCTGGTGAGCTCATACCCCTACCCACTTTCACTGTTTTCACTGTTTTCAGGGGGAATACAAGCAAAGTACAAGTGATACTTGTACTCAAAACTTGTTTTATATACATTGTGTTTCATACTATATATGCTTTTAACACTGACACTCGTAACAAACAACCGTTTGAACTTATAGGACACACAATCATGTTATTTGTGAATTACATTATAAATTGTTGTATTTATATTTTCACAAATGTTTTCCCACAATATAACAGTTAAAAGCATAACATTTGAACATGGTTTTGTCCTCGGTAACACTTCACAGAGATACGCAAGTGGAGGATAGTCAATTGATCTTTCAGTAGTATTACTAGTAAATTTGTTAATCCTATAATTGGAGACACGTCCTCGGTGAACACTCCACAGAGATATGCGAGTGGAGGACCACCCCCGTAACCAGAATCTCTTAGATATGGAGCGTGACTTGAGTGTATAGATCTATACGGGGCTGACTACCCCGTACCTGGCTGCTAGCTACAGCCGAATCGGAAGGTTCAAGGGTGACGAAAGTCATATAGGGTGATGGACTATTTATTGAACTAATTGGTGTATTGTATGGTTATGGAACTCGCAATTTGGATAACAGAGATTTACATATTAGTAATAATGGGTTTAGTAACTAGTTTACTTGGTATTTATTAGTTTTATAAACATGTTAAAAATAATACATTTTTAGAGTACATCTTTTACATTACATTTTGGGTTGGTGAACTAACACACACATTACAAGGATAACAAAGCTTTCAATATACATCTTTCACATTAGGAAAATATGGGATTTTCCTGGGATCACAGTTGAACATAACTAGAACAGTGTAACCTAACAGTTGACCAAACATTACTTTTAAAAAAATATGGGATTTTCTTGGGTTGTAACATTTTCAGAAAGCAAAAGGAAACTCGTAAATTTTCACAAAACAAAACCACTTATGAACTCACTGGCTTTATGCTGATTTTCAAACTGCTTGTATTCTCAGGTCCACATTAGACAGGTACCCGATGATCTCTTTTGGCGAAGACGGAGTGCGTAGAAGACTCGTCTTGTTTTTGTTTATGTATACATATGTATCACACTATAAAACTTTACTTTTGGAACAAATGTAAATTTCTATATGTAATGTAATGGTTGTTTACTTTACTTACTATGTGCATTGGATTTGATACTCAACGTGGAGTCCGCCCTGGAAATGTTTCCGCCTTCGGTTTTCGGGGTGTGACAGATTGGTATCAGAGCCCTTGTTTATAGTGAATGAAGTATACCAAACCTTACAAGGTATAAAACTATAAACACTAAGGGGCCTAAGTGCTCTGAACTAAAAGTATACTTCAAGTAAAAGTATTTTCAAAAGAATACAAGTATAACTAACCGTCGAGATCCGTAACTAGGATCAATATAGCATGGCCAACTATATTCATTCGAGACACAGCCAACATGTGCTTGGGAGTGACTGTGGTGTGCGACATGCCAAAAACTTACCCTAATATCCCAAACATCAAACTGTGGTCGTAGCGAATCATGAAATACTATGGGAGTATTTCTCGAGACAATCCTTTGTAGAAAACCTCATTCAAGCGTTATTCCCTGATCATTCCTTTAGCGATAATTTATCCATTTTGATAACTCATTCCTGCTTTATTGCTTATTCGAAATATATAATTGTCATATCTCTTGATTAAATTCGGAGGACTTATCATCCTCTCTTTCCTGATCTTATTAGATCAAGATGCCTCCAAGAAAGAGACCCAGCTCAAAGACCAACAACCCTCCGCCACCACCTTCTCCTCAAATTGACCTCGCAACGCTTCAAATAGTTATTACTGCCGCAGTGACAACCGCCGTGTCACAAATGAACCCTGGTGGTTCAGGAGGTGGTCTCCAACCCCAAAACTTAGAAGATAGCCAAGGACACCAAAAAGGGGGTTCTTATAAAGACTTCATGAGTGCGAAACCCACATCTTTTGATGGCACTGGAGGTGTCATTTCCCTCACTCGATGGTTCCTGAAAATCGAATCTATATTCGAAATCTATGCTTGTTCGGAGTTCGATAAAGTAAAGTTCGCAACTTGTACCTTCAGTGAAAAAGCCCTGACTTGGTGGAACGACTGAGTCAAATCCATGACCCTACCTGTAGCTAATGGTATGGGCTGGGAAGCCATGAAAGAACTCCTTCTGACTGAGTACTCCCCTCGGGGCGAAATACAGAAGTTAGAGCACGAGCTCTGGAACCTAAAGATGAAGGGTTCCGATCTTGCAGCGTACACCTCGAGGTTTGATGACCTGGCACCGCTCTGTCCGGGAATGGTTACCCCGGAGAGTAAGAAAATAGAAAGATTTATTTGGGGGCTGACCCAGCCAACCAAGGGACACGTCTTATTTGCACGGTCGGATACTTATGATAGTGCCAAAAGTTTAGCTCAAATTCTGATTGATCACAATGATGAAGTTGAGGAAACAACCGCCACCCCCGAACCGACCAAAACTAGTGGTGAAAAGAGAAAGTTCTGGAAGAAGAAGAAAGGCCAACCTTCCTAAGGATCCTCAAAGAAACAACAGACTGTAGCAGTCCATGCTGCCAGTACCCCCATTGTCGCTGCTTCTGTTGTTGGATCTACAGCTCAGACCCCTACCAGTAGATATGCTGGTAACCTTCCTGTGTGTGAAAAGTGCAAGTACCACCATAACCCTGGCCCCTGCCGTGAACTGTCGTGCACCAACTGCGGTAAAAAGGGGCACATGGTCCGATTCTGCAAGGCACCAGCCCAATCAGCCAACCAATCTTCTGGAGCAGGTGTTGGTCAAGCCTGCTATAACTGTGGAGAAGTTGCGCATTACAAGAGGAACTGCCCCAAGAAAGTGACAGCTGGTAATACCGGGAGAGTCCTATCCATGGGACGGGAGGAGGCAGTCGTCGATCCCACTGTTGTTTCGGGTACGTTCCTTCTCGACAACTCTTATGCTAGTATTCTTTTTGATTCGGGTGCTGAAAGAAGTTTTGTTAGTCATTCGTTCAAACAAAATCTAAAACCTAATCCCCAATGATTAACCAAAATTTTTACCGTCGAGATGGCTAACGGTGAGAAAGAAAGTGCTAGTGATGTATTCATAGGTTGTACCCTTACCCTGAACGATCATTCATTTCCCATCAATCTTATGCTAGTCTCCATTAATAGCTTTGATGTTGTCATTGGCATGGATTGGTTGAGTCCCAATCATGCTGATATCCTTTGCTACGAAAAAGCCATCCATCTCAATCTTCCTACGGGTCAGACTCTCATAATCTATGGCGATAAACTCAGCTCCAACCTTCGCATCATTTCCTGCATCAAAGCTCAGAAACTCTTGCAAAAGGAATGCCAAGCATTCCTAGCCCATGTCTGTAACACCGTAAATTTCAAGACAAAATTTTCATTTAAAATAATCATTTTATTCTTAGAAACACTTGTTTAAAATCTCATTCATAGTCGATTTATAAAACATGATTCCATTTTCACTTGC